GTAGGAAGAGACTTACTTTCACAGAAATGTGCACGGTTACATGTCGTATTGAAGCGATCCTCAATACGCGACCACTTACCAAGCTAAACTCTACCGATTTAACAGAAATTCCCTTGAGGCCAGTAGATTTCTTGCGAGGCAACTTTCGATTCTCATTACCAAATGACGAGTTTATCGATACCAGCGCCGACCCAAATTATGACCTGACCTCATGCAATCAGAGCGATAAGCTATCGAGGCTTATAAGACCTCAGAAAGTATAGCTAACACGTTTTGGGTAAGGTGGAGCACGGAATACCTCAGCGCATTGAGAAAATCGCAAAAATCTAATCTCAAACAACCACGCCACTTGACCAGAATGATTCCAGTCGAAGGCGAGGTAGTTTTAATTGAAGAAGACCTACTCCCTAGAGGTACTCAGATAATGCCGGGGGCAAGCGGCGATGCGATTTATGGGCAGGCGGGCACCGGAAAAATAGTCCGTTGATTTTTTGCGGCCCGCTTGCAGAAATTTGGAAGAAAGTTGGCGAAATTAAAGACGAAAGCTTGAAGAACAATCGCGGTTTCTTTATGGATTAGCTGCGGCGCAGTGGCCGCATTCTCGCGGACTTTCCGCGAGAATATGCAAAAATTTCGAGGGCCGCACGGTCCTTTGTGGAGGACCGCTCAACCCTCAGGTACTTTCCGCTGAGAGAAAGTACCTCAAACTTGAGTAACTAAACCAACGGTGACACCTCTGCCACATAGAGTCTTACCTGCGCTCGACGTACGCTTGAAAATGCCTAAAAAGAGTGCGAGCGCTTGCTGAAAATTTGGCCAGCGCTCGCTGAAAGAAATTAACTGCGGAGCGCTTGCAGGAAATTTTGTATTGCTGCCCGCTGGCAGAAGACGAAAGTACCGCCCGCTGAAGGTTTGGCCACGCCCCAAAATTCTGCTGACAGCCTGCAGAAAAGCGCGAGTTTGCGGACCGCCTGCCCCCGGCGATTATCTGAGTAGTTGGTCATACGGAAAAGTCGTTGAAATTATTAAAAGTGCAGATAATTTGTGCAGATCGGCTAAAGTGATGCTACCAAACCGCAAAATCATTCAGCGCCCCCTAAACAAGCTGTTTCCGCTAGAGGTACGAAGTCTTCCCGACAAAAATGCTCCAGTGGAAAGAATTCCCGACGCTGATAAGACAAATCAAGCGGGAGCAAAAGCTGTTAATTGTGTTCTCAAAAAGACAGATCGCATTTGGCGCGCGCTTCAAAAACAAAGGCATATGATGTCATAAGGGATTTTGAAGCAGGATTGACGCATCAAAATATACTATTGCGGTCCCCACTTCCGCTAATCTTCCTCGTCTTATCCGTGTTATCCACCGCCTCAGCCCATGGGATCATAACACCCTCAAAAATCTCGTGCTACAACGGAAAAATTTACATCCCACCTCAGAACACTTCCTTTCAAATATGTCTTAATGGCAGGTGCACAACACTTGAGAACTCAACGCGTGCCAACTCCTATGCCATCCCCATTGCCCCACACAACGAGAAAGTCAAAGTTGAAATCAGCTTGACAGCGAATAGTAGCCTCAAGTTTGACAAATATTGCACAAGACCAAACTTCTGCGATTACAACTATTTCCTATCAAAAAGCCTGCTAGGCAACCCACAATGCTCCCCCATTGCGGCAATCGCCACACTAGCAGTTTTCATTTACGTCCTGGTCCTAATACTAGTAGCGACCATTGGCATATTAACAAGAACGAGAAAAAACTTAGCTGGAGATGCGGAAAGAACACCAGCATCCTCCAACGCTCCTCGGAACACTCCGCTTCAGCGTTTCTTTCCGGCGCCCTTGCCATACAGCACTGTCGCCTTGAGCCTTGCGCTCATGCTTATAGGGTCCGCAGCCGCCTGTCAAAGTGGTTATACCCGCCAATCAGCGAATCTTCTTTGCGAAGAATCATCCTGCAATTACCACTATAGTAAAGAACTACTATTTAGTCGACTGATTCACGAAACTTGCATCGAAATTCATCATGCCAATAAGACAATCGCATTAGTGAAAGTAGTCAAAAAGACGATGAAAATGAGATGCCTGAAAGCTATAGAGACCTTCACTAGGAGCACACTAACACATGTATACTACGTAGAAAGGTGCGCAGAGGCAGGAACATGTAGCCCCACAAAATGTCAAACTGTGAGATCAAATGAGACGATAAGCGAACTAAAGAAGTACAGTGGATATCCGGGTTACTCTGGATGCACATCCATTTGCGGGGGACTACCATGTGGATGCCTCCTACCACTCCCAGCCTGTCGCTTCTACAGAGTGGCAAATCAACCAACATCACGAACAGTCTACGAAGTAGTTAGGTGCACCGAACGGACACCATCCATAAAATTGATGTTACAATAACCAGAATGAATGGCGAGGATTCGGCGAGTCTGCACATCAAACCCTACATTAAGGAGTCGTTCAGTGGATTCAACATAACAGCGGTTTCGGTCCAAAAGCCCACAACACCACTGATGAACCAAAGATTTGCACTAGCAGAAGGTGAAGCTTTCCTACTACCGTCACAGTTCTCAATCCCAGTTGAATGCGCAAGTAGAATTCAAGCAGAAAAGGAGTTTCATACATGCAGAAATACAGTTCAATGCCACTGTGACGGCACAGCCTATTGCCAGTGCCCCGAGGATTCCCTAGTCTCACTACAGAATTCAAGCTACACGTTACCCCATGCAAATCCTAATGTAAAACTCGAACAGATTGACGAGACTATAGCCGCATTTACAGATGATGGAGAATTTGTCATAACCTTAGAGTCACGAATGAACAATGAACAACTCATAAATTGTCGACAAAAATGAATGCAAGCTACAGTTTGTCAATCTAACAGGATGCTACGATTGTGAGGAAGGAGCTAAGCTTACGACCCTATGCCACTCCCACACACGCATGGAAATAACGGTCATTTGCGAAAGTCACGAATTCACGGTTGATGCGGACCACTTAATGTTAGAACCTATCACTTACTAGCATTCGAATATGCCCTTATTGACGAATCGTGCAAATCAGATTGCTTAGCATCAGAAAGTGAGCTCAGATTGCAAGCACATCTTCACTATCACATTCCTCACAAAAACTATAACATTGGAACCTCTGAGCACACGCTCTCTATTAAACATCAGCGGTTAACGGATTTTTCTATCCCAGACATCACCCCACTAATTCAAACAATACGAAACCACTGGAAAATGGCAACATTCATACTCGCTTCAACATTCACTCTCGTAGGACTAACATATTTATGCGGCCCTATGCTGCTAGTCATTCTACTGAAAATTGTACTCTACCCATGCAAAAAAGTTCTAACACTAGCTTATTCTCATTTGTAAGAAGAAGGAGAGTAAAGAAAATGATCCAAATATATAAAAAAAATATGAAGCAAAGAAGAAAAGAGTGCAATGTACATAGAAAATGTGGCAGCTCTGCCCTTAAGTACGCTTTCACCTACCCTAGAGCACTAACTCCTCCTTCGCACCTCAAAACATACATCATCGCACCTCAGAAACATACCCTCGTACACCTCGTAATTATCATTACTCTGCAGGCGACTTCACACCTCAAAACTGGTGCCCCCAAAATGTCGTATTTAGTGATGACCTCGTTGTCCCTCCTCGCACCTCAAATCGGTAATATGTAACTCTCACACCTAACTCGTCTAATATTATCAAGCGTCGTAAAACTCCATTGAAGAATCGTAAAAGCAGTAATTGAAAGCACAATGATTCATGTTAGCTTCGATAAGATAAGCCACACAACCTCCCTTCTCCTATAAATATCTGCGGATGGTGAAGACGACCATCCAACGATGTCACTCACGGCGGAGCTACAAGAAGCCTTGGAGGACTTGGACCGCTACGACGACACCCACCTGGCACCCAAGCTGGCCGCGTTGGAGATGCTGTGCAGAACCATTATCGAGCAGAACGGCAGAATCCTCGAGTCGAACGCCCAGATTGTGGAGCAGAACAAACGGATTCTGGAACGACCTCACCCAGATCCAACTGCGTATTTTGCAGTGTGGAGGAGAACCGAGACAACCATTTTTCCGGTAGGTGCGTTCGTTTCAGGGATCCCGTCGAGAAGGCCGCACAAGCCGCGACGATGGGGCTCTGCCTGCGCTGCCTGAAAGCAGCGCATGAAGATGACTGCGGGGTAAAGTGTGGAAATTGTGGCCTTGGCCACAATTTCCTCCTTTGCTCCAGCAGGCGAGCCCCACATAACGCACCGAAACGTCCGCGGCACTGAACTTCCGCTCAGCCAACCTCAAGCCCGAGAAGTCCAACGCTACCTGCCTCCAGCCCGCCTCAACCCAAGAAGTCCAACGTCATCTGCCTCCAGCCCACCTCAGCCCAAGAAGTCCAACGTCACAACGTCTCCAGCCCGCCTCAGCCCGAGAAGTCCAACGTCACCTGCCTCCAGCCCGCCTTAGCCCAAGAAGTCCAACGCCACAACGCCTCCAGCCCGCCTCAGCCCAAGAAGTTCAACACCACCAGCGTTGTCGGTCCAGCAGCAGCCCAGCTCCAGCCGTCCCCAGCCATCAACAGCCCGTCTCTAGCCGACTCCATCACCGTGTCCACTGTCTGCTCAATGCCCAGCTCAGTCCTGCTCCAGCAAGATCAAGGATGCGACATGTGATATTAAATTGTTGTTTTTGTATATCATATGCTGTGTTTTGGCTGTCTCCCTCACGGCGGGAGTATCATCGCGCCGATGATGATGCCCCGCCGACCTTAGGTCACGCCGAGATAGGCGTGGCCGAACTTACTCCCCTCTCGTGACCTGCATTTTTACCGTGGAACAGAAAGGTATCGTTCTCCTGCTCGCATACTCGCTGCACTCTTGTTAACTCATTAATAAATCCTGAACCACCGTCTTTTGTACTTGTATTCTCGTTACGGGCAAAACCGCCTAAGAGTCTCTAGTACCCGCAATACTTTTTGTAGATGAAAATGTGGAAAACCTGCTTTCGACAGCTTTCCGCTTGGGTGTGGAGCATATCGTTTGGAAATGTGAAACTTTTCTAAGGGCTGAGGGAGCTCGACGATCGTTTGATGTCTTCAGCAGACTTGTATTTGCCATCACTTACAAAATGTCTGCTCTTGAGGTCAGCTATCCTATATATCCAAACTATGCTTCAATTATTGGACTGTTTAAGAACGATTGCCTGGTAGCACTGCATAGCGTGAACGACGTTCGCATAATGCTGATGGATTCTCGTATGGAGAGCGCTCCTCAGGAGCTTAGGATACTTCTTTTAGAGATATTGTTTCAACGTCTCTCTTCTGAAACATGTCCAGCTAGTCTCAAAGGTAATACTTGGGGTAGACTTCGCTGAGGCGTAGATTGCTTAGCAGTTTTAGCTGATACGGTGTCTGCGGCCTCGCAGACCTTCTCTTCATCTGCAGCATCGAATGGATCGGAAGTCGCCTCTGCAGAGGAAGTGGGCAATTGAACAGCACTGTGAGACTGACTATTCACTTTTTGGAATGTCTGTAGCGGATCTGAGTCAGGAGACATGCAAGGAAAGGGAAAATGTCAATAAGTGAGCAGGAAAAGGTCAGGAGGTTATTTTCTAATCAGTGGAGGCTTGGATATTTTTATCCTTACAGACCACTGAGGATATGGATAAGAAAGTTGTGAGCGGCACATGCACAACCAGTCCACAATTAATTCAGCATCGAAACCAGGTTGGTACGGTAGGCAATGTAGATATCGAACTGTCATACTAGAGTTGTTTCCATTAGCCCTATGCTTGAGCCATGTTCTCTTATAGGGTCGGGCCAAACTGTGCGGCGTACGCGGCATACGCAGCGTATCAGGTGCATAATATCATGGGGAGGGCTACAGGGCTACAATACAGCTACAGGGCTTATTAGTTGCAGTGTCGGGAGCATCTCCGCTCCCGCGCGGCCGCTTCGGCTGGACTCTGTAGCTCTTTGGCTAACATGCTCTCTGATCACTTTCCCGCCGCCAGCGTGGGAAAGGCGAAGACTCAGTCGATTGTAAACGATTAGAGAGCATGTCCGGGAAGAGACGCAGAATCACGCGCAGGAATGGAGATGCTGGTGCACCCGACACTGCAATCGATAAGCCCCATACGACACACGCCATACTTGATCCTCTTGTTCCAGTTGTTCCACTTGCTCCGCTTCCGCCTCGTGCAAAACGCGCGCCTACTACTCTGTCATTTGGCGTCGCTTACAGCGAGTTTGCACAGCCATCCAAAACTCTCTCTTTGAAGGCAGTGGCTCGGCAAATCTCAACCTAATCAAATTTTCGCTTACCTGGGTTATTCAATACACTAATCAAAATCCACCTCTGCGAGCTTGAAAACAGCGAAAACGAGAGTTTTTCAATGCCCGTCCCTTTGGATTTGGACGAATGGAGCAAGGCTGATGATGCTGGATCGTTGCGGGACCCAATGATTTTAGCATTGCGGCGGCCAGCCTCCAATGGTGAGGAAGAAATTGCCAACTCGTCCGGGAACGTGTAAGATTAGCCCGGCGTGTAAGTTTAAGAGCCATTTTCTCGGCAGGGAAGGCTTGCTGTGCAATCAGGATTGCAATGTTTTCATACTTGGGCGTTAAAATCCTGAGTTGAGTTGAGTGAGTTGAGTTTTGCCGATCCACTGCCTTTAATAGCTGCTGCAGGACGAAGGCGGTCGCCCAAATAGATTGAAAACATGCAAGGCTGCGGCGCGCGGGCAATTGTCAACCACAGGGCGCGCGCATGCGCGGTTAGCGGACATCCAAGGAAGCTTGCGCGCGATCTGTGGTTGACGATTGCCCGCGCCGCGTGCGGGCGGGGCAATCGTCAGCCCTGCATGTCTTCAACCTATTTGGGCGACCGCCTTGGTCATGGAGCAGATATTACCTACACAACGCCAAATGACAAATTAGTAAGCGCGCGCTTTTCACGAATCGGATCAAGTATGATGTGTTAGGCCCCGGACAGACTTCACGCGATTTGATCGTCGCGATCTATTCGACAAGATTTCCATTCATTTTCATGTCACATTCAAAAATTTCGGGCTGGGAAAGTATCACAACCGAATGCAAGTTGATCGGCATGGAATGATGTTGTAACAGTTGTCTCGTCGCGATTCAGTCACGACGATCAAATCGCGTGGCCCGGGACCTTATGCTGCACACCTCGCGTACACCGCGCAGTCTGGCCCAACCCATAGGCGTTGTCAAAAGGCAGTGTGTAGGATGGTGCAAAACAGTAGCAGCTAATTTTTTTTTGAAGAGGAGGAAGGCAACAGCCATTTGATTGAAAAGATCGGGTGATACTTTCTGGAAATTTTGCGTGTTTATCAGAAATCTCTCGGGATTAGAGGATGTCGAGGCTGCCAGAAATTTCATAAAGGCTAATTGAAAGGCAAATCTAAAAATGTTAATCCGAAGCGAAAGGAAGTTTTTGCGCAATTTTATAAGTACGACTTAAATTTTTTTAGATTTTACCTAGTAAGGTTGAATTGTAAAACTTACTAGCTGGTTTACCTGGCTCCGCCCGACCCTATTGAAATACTATGATAAAGCTCTCATCCGTGTCCCTGCACAACCTTTCCCTGTGCTCAAGTCTACATGATCCTTTTCCCGCTGTTTCAGGGCCGCATGCACTAACATCCCCGCGGGGAGGGGATCGCAGCTTAAAAGAAAGCCTCATATCCTGAACCTCCAGATATCTGGATTTCACGTTGTGTACGTAACCGCAAGTATTCCTACTATCCTTCACTATGAACACATTGAACAGCAGCGAGAAGCTGTACAAGCCGCAGTTTCCAACATTCGTATGATCCCTGGTGATTCCCGGCGCTTTTCTTAGGGCCGCATGCACTAACATTTCCGCTGGGGAGGGGATCGCAGCTTCAGAAGAAAGCCTCATATCCTGAACCTCCAGATATCTGGATTTCACGTTGTGTACATAACCGCAAATATTCCTACTATCCTTCACTATGAACACATTGAACAGCAGCGAGAAGCTGTACAAGCCGCAGTTTCCAACATTCGTATGATCCCTGGTGATTCCCGGCGCTTTTCTTAGGGCCGCATGCACTAACATTTCCGCTAGGGAGGGGATCGCAGTTTCAGAAGAAAGCTTCATATCCTGAAGCTCCGGATATCTGGATTTCACGCTGTCTACCTGTCCGTAAGTACTCCCACCATCCTTCACTATGAACATATTGAGAAGAACGGAGATGCTGTACAAGCCGCATTTCTCAGCTTTTTGTAGGATCCCCTGATGATCCCTGGGGGACGAACATCTATTTTTCAAAGTCATTTTTCTTTCTCCAAAATTAACGAAAACCTTCCAAAGTTATACTGAACATCTAATACAACAGTGCTAAGCATGTTGTTGATGAAAACAAATGAATTTATGAAAAATCGAATTTTTCGGTATACCCCAAATTTCGACCTGTGGATCATCGAAAATTTCATGACTTCAAAACATCATTTGTTCTTATCAGCAACATGCTTATCACTGTTGGGTTAAATAATCTGCACAACTCTGGAAGTTTTTCGTTAACTTCGGAGAAAGAAAAATGACTTTAAAGAAAAGCGCCGGGGATCATCAGGGATCATGCAAAAGCTGGAAAATGCGAGTCGTACAGCTTCTCGCTCCTGTTCAACATGTTCATAGTGAAGGATAGTAGGAATACTTACGGACAGGTACACAACGTGAAATCCAAGTATCTGGAGTTTCGAAATATGAAGCTTTCTTTTAAGCTGCAATCCCCTCCCCGCGGCCATGTTAGTGCATGCGGCCCTTAGAGTCATTTTGTGGAAGTCGGGGGACACCTTCGAGCGCCCTTCCAAGCGCTGTGGGCTCGATGGACACGGCATTGCCGTGAGAGGTCCCGCCGGGGACGGAGTCGCGGAGATGCTGTGGTGTGTGTGTTGAAACTCACTCACTTCGTGTCTCAGCCAGTCGACACCCCGCGTTTTCGTCTCTCTGCCTCGTTTTTTTGAGCATCTCCGGATCGATCCTCACTTATTCTTTGTTTCTATTGTTTTTGTGCTTTCGTGTTTTATTGTCTTCCTCTGTCACCTTTTTTTGTGCTGCCTGGCAATAAACGTGGGCCGCCGCTGTATTTTTGTTCTCGGAGCCGAGGCATCACCTCGATTATTTCTTTTTTTTGTGCCGGGTCCATTACATGGGGGCCGAACCGGTCCGTGATACCAGGCTCTGAGAAACAAAAACACAACTGCCGGGATAGGGTAAGCCGAATGGCCGAACAGTTGCAGAAGCCATTATCGATCGATAGGGCAAGCTGTAGGAGTACAGTGGCTTGAGTCGAATATCGATCGATAATTGCGCAGTAGATAGAGCGCCTGTAGGCGAATTTATTGATTGAATTCGACACATTTGTGCGCGAGCCTTAGTGGCGACGGCGCCGAGCAAGATGCATACCGGAAATAAGAGTATGCTTTCAGAGATGCCCGAAACGAGCAGCAGCACCAAGACAACTGCACAAGGAGCCAGTGGGGAACGGAATTTATCTACCCAGAGAGGTATGCCGCCATGTAATTAGCAGGGGCATGAGAGGTCATGAACTGTCAGCAACGCTAATTTGCACCGAAGAGAAGCAGATTTTGCTCACGACAGATACGACGTCATCCTACAGTGTACGAAATCGGGATTTCATTGAAATTTGAATTTGAAGTTCAGTAGTGAAATTAGTCCAACTAGAGTGAAAATTTGTATTTATTTATTTATTTATTTATTTAATACGCACAAGGCGCGCCCATACAACAGAAGAACAAAGCATCACACCAAACAACCAACAACAAAAAAAAATAAAGCAAAAAGGCAAACTCCCCACTGAATCAGTCCAAGTCCAGTCCGCAAAATTTTTCTGGGAATGGAAAGGGATGAGCTTGTTTAGACATATATGAAGTCATCGCAGGTATAGAAGTTCAAAGGAGTCTGTCTCATGCCCCCTGCTCTTAGCAAAAATGCTCTTACTCAACATAAGCAATTGTATATGTTGGAAGCAGGTGTATTGGTAGTAATATTGATAAAACCCGCCCAACCAAAACTCTGGGGAGAGAACAGAACTCCGATAGAAGTTGCACAATGCAAAAGTTTCAAGCCCAAACAAGCTAGCCCAAGCATAACTGAGGTGATAAGACGGAACCAGACCCAAACTAACGCGTGAGGCATAAAAGTGTTAGAAGAAAACCAAACAGAGAACGGCAATAATTTGAACCAAGGTCCAATGCAGTGGTAGAGTCTGATCTAACATAAACTACAGTCCAACAAAGCATTCATTTCGCATCCCTCGACCACAATCAGCCCAGAGTAAGAATCAGCATGAGACAGGTAGAGTCGCGTGCCATGAAACCGTCATACGAAAAAGATAGTGAACCGAATGGACAAGAGCGAGAATCTAAAAAGAAGACTAGTGAGAGATGAAAAGTAAAATAGAAGAAAAAGAAGGAAAAAAGAAGTGCAAAGAAGATCAAGCCTCAGAACCAAACCATAGAACCATAACAACCATAAGCCCTAAAGACCTAAACCCTAAAAAAATCTGAACACAAATATTAGAAACGCAACGCAATCAAGAAGAATTATCACTGCTCAAAAGTTGAGACAAATCAGCTTTTCTTAATTTTTTCTTGAAGGCTTCACCGCCACGCACTGACACAATATCAACGGGTAAGCGCTGAAGTCATCTTGCACAGCGGAAGAAAGGTAGTTGAATATTCCAGACTGATGTTGCTTGATAGGTTATAATGCAGATTGAAACCACCTAGCCTCGTACCAGCAGGTTTGAAGATCCAAAATTTGCTTGCTTTTAATTTTATTTCCATGCGAAGAATACGAAAACAAAAAACGAGGTCGGATATCATGCGTCTAATTCTGAGAGGAGTCAAGCCCAATTTATTAGAGCGTAGATGACAGCCTGGAATATCAACTAGTGTTCCACCACTCGCACGACGAAAGACCAGGCGGGTAAAAGTGTGCTGAACTCTTTCAATCTTCATTATATCTTTTTTTCGGGAAGGAGTTTAAACTTGCGAACAATATTCAAGATGTGGAACAACATAAGCTTTGTATAACCTGGACAGTATTATAGGATTACGGGTTTGTATATTGCGAAAGATTGTAAATAAAGTGGCATATGCCCTGTTGACAATTGAATCAATATGCTTAGAGAATTTCAAATCACAATCGATAATAACCCCCAGATCTTTCACATCTTGACAAGCAGTCATCTCAACTCCATCAATTTTATATGAAGTTGAGGAATGCTTGCCAAGATGGAGGAAGGAACATTTTCTCGGGTTGAGAGAGAGTCCATTCTGAGACGCCCAAGCACACATTTTATCAATCGATGACTGCAAAGCATCATGAACTGTGTCCAGGTTGTCTTCATCATAAGATGCATATATCTTTGTATCGTCCGCATACATTTGTACGTGTACATTCAATGTTTTTAAAGCATCAGGTAGGTCCAAAGTGTATACCAAAAATAACAAAGGAGATAGGACAGCTCCCTGAGGAACTCCACTGGGACAGGGAAATTTTCTGGAATATTCATGACCAATCTTGACCGTCATGCATCTATTGCTCAAGTAAGACTCAAACCAAGTTAGTAGGTTCCCCGAAATTCCGATATTCTCTAGTTTGCAAAGAAGCAAACGGTGAGGTATTCTATCAAAAGCCTTAGAAAGGTCGAAGTATATAATATCCACAGATTTTCTCGAACTCAAGGCTAATTTCCAATCAAAAACGGCCTCAGTAAGATTAGTTGCAGTTGACTTGCCTGGCACAAAGCCATGGTGCTCGGGCGAAACAAGATGGAGCCTCTCTAACCAAAGTAGTAATTTTTCTAATAATTCTTTCCATAATCTTGATGGGCACAGAATTATGGCTAATGGGGCGAAAATCGGCAACACTTTCAGCTGCGGAAGTTTTAGGCACAACTGTAACAATGGCTTCCTTCCAAAGGGAGGGAATCTCACCGAAGTATAGGGAAAGATTGAATATATCAGCAAGCGGTTTGGCAAGAGTATCTGCACACATTTTATAGAGTATCTGAGGGATGCCATCGTACGGCTCCATACACGAAGGTTTTAGGGACCTCAAGACTCTTCTCACTTCCGCAGGGTGAAAATAAACAGAGTTCAATTTGTTTTGAGAAGGAGGGAGGAAGAGGGGTGATCTGGGGTGATCTGCCATGCTGGTTTCAAATATAATGGTGGTTTTGCGTGAAAACTCAAAATTTTTTATTTTTGAGTTTTAACCTTGTTTTTAAAATCTAGCAAAAAGCTTGAAAATGTCATTTGAGGGTTTTCCATGATGCTGTTTTCGAATATGCTAATGTTTTCGCCGAAAACTTCTAAAACTTTTTGTTTTGGAATTCTGACTTTTTCATAAATTTCACTGCAATGATAAAACTGGAAAACAAATGAAAAAGAATGCTACTTTTAGAAAAACTAGAAAAAATGATATAAACTGCGAAATAAAATTCGAAATAAGGTAAGAAAATATTCAATGAAGCTGAAACGAAGTTTGAAGGATTGGGAAAGATTCGCTATCATTGAAATCTGGTGTTATTGAATTATATTGGACACTACATTTAGTTTCCTCAAATAGCAGCTACTGAATTATCACTTAATCCTTGAGAAATGATAAAACATTTGCTTTATCAGCATTGATAGGCATGGCTGCTGCAATGCACGTGGCTTGAAAATTTCTGTCAAAGACAGATATCATGATGTGCGAACCCAGATCCGACAAGTACGCCCAGAACAATGAAATGACCAAAAATGCCTATGGGAATGAAAGGCCGAAGAAACAGTTTAAGGCTAAAATTTTCCAGAACTTAATTTGGAAACAGGATTTGAGGATTTTTTAAAACCATTATCATATTGTAAAGAGCGCCTTTAGAAACCCCCAGATCCAAGTCTTTATTCAAATTTGCCAAATATCGCCACTGAAAGTTGATTTTAATCCCATCAGGAAGCTCGGTTTCATTTTTACGCAAAACCACCATCATATTTGGAACCAGCATGGCAAGTTAAGCCTAAATACAAATTTTTACCCTAGTTGAACTAATTTCACTACTAAACTTTGAATTCAAATTTCAATGAAATCCCGATTTCGTACACTGTGGGAAGATGTCGTATCCGTCGCGAGCAAAATCTGTTTGTCCTCGGTGCAAATTGGGTGCTAACTAGCGTTGCTGACAGTTCATGATCTCTCATGTCCCCTGCTAATTACATGGCGGCATGCCTTTCTCGGTAGATAAATTCCCGCACCCGGAGCCAGTACAAGCAAAAAACAGGTTAGTGCAAAGAAATTCGAGGGTATACTGAGGGTATAAGTGAGGGCTTGGACAAAATCAAAATATTGGTAGAAAATTGGCCGAAAGAGTTGAGAAGGGAGACGGAGGACGCCAAGATAGCGGGAAAATATAAAGAACAATCAGAAAAGCTCACTGCGGAGCAAATAAGAAAAGTTGGTGGCGATTTAAATAAGTTAACAGATAAGCTAAAAAGGGTCCAGGGTTTTGCTGGAAGTGTATGCGGTGCTCTTTACGAAAAAGGGATTGAATCAGTTGAGGACGTAAGGGACTTTTTGGCCACAGCAGAGAAGGACGGGGAACTACTGATGGAAATGGTGATATGTTCAATACAGTCGTGAAGAGCCCGAAATGATGGACATTGAACCAACCACAAGCGGTCAGTTTGAAACGAGAAGCCGTTTTGCTCCAGATGATGACATAGAAGTGAGAAATCAGTTTCAGCTAGACACGACAAGTCATCCGCGTCCTACTGAGGATCGCTCAGAGCGGCACTTGAGACGGCCCTTGGAACCATCGGAGCCGGACCCCAGGACAGAGGTCAGTCGTACAGTTTTATGGCTTTCATGCAAGCCAACGCATGCGTGGACCCTGGTACATTCAGGAGGGAGGGGGGGGGGCAAGCATGAAAGTTTTGATGAGTTCATAAGGAGGTTTGAAAGCAAGTATATAAGGGTAATCCAGGATGACTATACGTTGATCGACATCCTCGGGGATGGCCATTTAGATGATAGAGCGAAAAGCATTTTTCTATCTCTACCCCAAGAAGTGAAGTCAGCAGGGTTTGAGCGGGTGGTAGAGGAATTGAGAAGAATTCTAGCTAATGACTCTATGGCAGGTAGGCTAAGGGCTTAAGGGAACATAGAAACCTAAGGCGGCGAGAAGGCCAGAGTGTAGCGGATTCTTGCGTGGTACTTGAGAAACTTGGTAGGCAAGCCAATTCCACGGCTACGGTAGGAGACAGGTCCCTTGAGTACGCGCAAATATTGATGGATAACCTGAAGGAGTGGCCAGAACATATTAGGTTGATTCATAATTAATGCACGTTTTTGTTACCTCTTCTTCCAAGCGCTGGTTTTTCAAGGATACTGAATCTTTTCCAAAAATTTCAATGCTATCTGAAAGAGCGTTTCTTCTAATTTCTTGTGTATCCTTTCTTTTTCGTGTCACTCTGTATGATACCGAATTCCACGCTTCGGAATATGAGAGACTAAAACTCGAAATTTTTTCCTTTCATTCTTTTTGCTCTAATTTCATGAGGACAAAAGATGTTAATTTCAAAAAATATGCCTAACAATGGCGAAGTTTTCTTCTATAGAAATCTCTATGAAGCAGAACTTTGCAAAAGAGATGAGAGATTCAACCACAAACTTGGCCGGTCATTGTGGTCTTTCGAGGTCGTATAGAACTTTGAAACAAGAACCAATGACTGCGATTTTGCTTTGTGCACAAAGAATAGACATAGCACATTGAGTGGTAGAAAAACGGTGAAATTTTACAGCTTTTCAGTGGCAAAAAATTTAAAAATTCTCAAAAAAGACAATTTTTCGTTCTTCTGAAAAAGCTAGAAAATGATCACTTTTGAACTTATAGCAGTATCTCGTCGTAGAAAAATACCGTAAAATCCAGGTTTTTTTGCCACTTCTCTCTTGACCATTGGCTGCGCAATAAGCAAAGTTTGCGCTTTCCTCCTACCTTTGAGAGTAAGTTATACTTTCTCAAATTAGAAGTTTCTAAAAAAAATTCTTGGCATTTCTCGGATTCTACAAACTTTCTCGTCACATTTATCTATGAGCAAAAATATATGTTGTAAAGCCAAGAATTTGCTCTCTGCAACAGTTCTTATTGCTCTATAGAAGATGACGTGGGAAACGAATTACGACGCTTTGAATATGAATTTCGAAAAACGTGCATTAATTATGAATCAACCTAATATACAGCTGCTGAGCGCTCTGCACAATGTGCAACCGCAAGAAGCATACAACGCAGTGAAATTAGCCTTGAGTATTGAACAATCTAAGGAGATCTTCGGATCTCAAGAAGAAGAGCTAAGACCGATAAGTATAGCTGGAAAAGAAGGCTATGGGCATATGACCCTAAAAGAGACCACACGGTGACGGAAGGAAGACCTCCACAAGATAAAATAAGAGTGGAGGCAAGGCCAAAAGGCACTTCGCTTAGAGGAAAAACTGATACAGTAACAGATGCGACGTTTCAGACGGGAAAGTCGCCAGTGCAAAAAGGACCCTATGAGGTTGTTGAGACAAGACAGAAAAGCAGCACGTCCGCGGATCAGAGAAAGTGCTACAGCTATAGTAGGTATGGACACATCGCGAAAGATTGTCCATACAGGCGAACACAGGTGAAGCAAGTGGGGCAGGTAAACAAGACGCCCGAGCAAATGCGTGATAAGATGAGCCTAAGTGAAATTATCGACAACGCAAGAAGTTTAGGACTGAAGACCAGGGAAGAAAACGCCCGTGAACCCTTAGTTGGTAAGAAATTTTCAGCTTGCATTACAATGTTAGGCATGAGACTTCCCGCTATCCTCGATACGGGGTCAATGATTGGTATAATACCGGAGTACCTGGTGGGAGTGCTGGTCAAGGCGAAGAAAGCAGGGTTTGAGCTAAGGCCGGGTGGGAGCTGCAAGGATACCAGTGGCATTGGACAAAGGTAGAAAGAGCGTGGTAGCTTTTCATATCTTAGACGTCAAAGACGACGACATTCTTATAGGAACTAATGCACTAGCAGATCTGGGGGTAGAGATGGTGCTGACCTCAGAGGCCAACGAAAAAAAGTAGTTGTGGCCAAACGAGTATACGTCCCTCCACACGATACAGCATGGGTACCAGCTGTTTGTGAGGGTCAGAGCGACCTAGAGGAGAGAGTAGTATGGGAACAAAGAAGGTCTGTTTACTGGGTTGAAGAATCAGGAAGTGGATATTCCTGTGATGAACACAGCCGAAGAACCAATGATCTTTCGTGAAGGAGAAGAATTAGGTCATTGGGGTACGGAGAAGTGGAGAGAAAACTGGGGGAATTAAATCCCCTAATGATGGACACCGAGACATACCAGATGGACGCAGGAGAGCGTCAAAAGTTGCTTTACGACCAGATAAGGGAAGGGGCAGGAATGGACACGCTATGCGAGGATTTGAGAGAGTTGTTGGATGATTTTATGGACGCATTCGCAGTATGCGACAGAGAGCTGACGGGAAGTGACAGAGTAGAAATGACTATCGACACAGGTGATGCGAAACCGATAAAAATGAAAGCTCCAACGGTACCGTTAGGTATACGCAAAAAGCTGAAAAAAACCCTTGGAAGACCTGCAGAACCGCAATATTATAGAGAAGAGCCAATCAGCCTGGGCATTTCCGATAGTGCTTGTTGAAAAGAAGGATGGTAGCTAACGTCTTTGCGTAGACTACAGGGAGCTGAACAAGAAAATCAAACTGGATTCGTATCCATTGCCCACGATTGATACAGTACTGCAAAGTTTATCGGGCATGAAGTTTTTCTCCACATTGGACCTATGCAGTGGATACTGGCAAATACCCTTGTCACAGCAGGCTCGTGAAAAGTCAGCTTTTACCACTACGGAGAGTTTGTTTCAGTTCAAGGTAACGCCATTTGGGTTGAGTACGAGCCCGGCAGTGTTTCAGCGGTTGAGGGGCCTCTGTACTGCAGGATTTGCTGGGCACTGAGGTGTTCTGCTTCATAGATGACATCATAATTTGTACGTCGACGAGGGAACGCTATATAGAGTTGCTCAGGAAGGTCTGCGAGAGATTACGACAAGCCAAGTTGAGGTTAAAAGCTCAAAAGTATGCCCTGCTACAAACCAAAGTCTCGTTTTTGGGCCATGTAATTGATGGCCAGGGAGTACACATGGATCCTAAGAAGGTGGCGATAAAAAACTACGCTGTACCTACAAACGCGAAATAGTTGCGAACATTTTTGGGCATGGCATCCTTCTATCGCAAGTTTTGCCTTGGATTTTCCAAGGTAGCAGCATGTTTGTTCGCGTTAACCTCATCAAAAGCCGTTTGGGAATGGACCGCAGAGCATGAGGAGGCATTCTCCAAAATGAAGACAATGATAGCTTCGGCTTCTGTTCTGGTGCAACCGAATATCGAGAAGGCAGGAAGGATCGCGACTCTTTGTGATCTGCACAGATGCGTCCACAGTGTGACTAGGAGCAGTTTTGTCAGAAGGAGACGATGGGCAGATGCACCCGGTCTATTTCGCTTCAAAAGCTCTTAGTAAGGCTGAGAAAAGATACCATATTACGGACTTAGGGCCGCATGCACTAATATCCCCACGGGGAGGGGATCGCAGCTTAAAAGAAACTTTATATTTCGAAACTCCAGATACCTGGATTTCACGTTGTGTACCTATCCGTAATATTCCTGCTACCCTTCACTATGAACATGTTGGAGAGGAGCGAGAAGCTGTACGAACCGCATTTTCCAGCTTTTGTATGATCCCTGATGATCCCCGGCGCTTTTCTTTAAAGTCATTTTTCTTTCTCCGAAGTTAACGAAAAACTTCTAGAGTTGTGCAGATTATTTAACCCAACAGTGATAAGCATGTTGCTGATAAGAACAAATGATGTTTTGAAGTCATGAAATTTTCGATGATCCACAGGTAGAAATTTGAGGTTTACCGAAAGTTTCGACTTTTTAAAAACTCATTTGTTCTCATCAGCAACATGCTTAGCACTGTTGTGTTAGATGTTCAGTAAAACTTTGGAGGTTTTCGTTAACTTCGGAGAAAGAAAAATGACTTTAAAGACCAGCGCCGGGAATCATCAGGGATCATACAAAAGCTGGAAATTGCGGTTCATGCAGCTTCTCACTCCTCTTCAACATGTTCATAGTGAAGGGTAGTAGGAATACTTACGGATAGGTACACAACGTGAAATCCAGGTATCTGGAGTTTCGAAATATAAAGCTTTCCTTTAAGCTGCGATCCCCTCCTCAGCGGGGATGTTAGTGCTTGCGGCCCTTAAAGGCTTTTGTAGCCTCCAGGCGTCCGGCCTAGGTTTTTTGTCACACTATCAGTCTTGAACCCAACCTATGGGATGTACGAATCACCATATCTCGTGTTTCGGTTTTAAGATGTCTAGTTCGTTCCTCAATAGTTCCTCAATAGCCCCTCAAAGTTCCCCTATTCACTGTTCTGTATTAGCTCTTCTGTACTACTCCTATTCTCTTTATTTGTATATCAGCTTCTTCTTGTGGTTTGTCATATTACTGATAAACCATTTTATTTTACCAGTTGTTCTGCTAAGTCAGTAGAACCTGCGGTCTAGACCGTCCTACCGCCACTGGGGGGGCGAACCGCTAACTTAGCACCGACAACTGTGGAAGCGTCGAAGACCTTCCAGAAGAAGCTGAATTTTGGAGCTGGAGCGTCAACGACCTCCAAAATCGAATAAGTTTGAAGCGTCAACGACCTTCAAATCGATTTGAAGCGGCGATTGTATCCCGCATAAGCCTATCGCGTCTTAGACAGATAGATTGGGGCACCACTGGTCCCCATATTGATTTTTGAGGCGGCGGATTTACCCCGCGTAACCTATTGATCTATTGGTCGATTAGCGTTGACGGTATAGAGCGCGCTTTAGGCCGCCTATACGAATTGTAAGAGCTACCGCAAGTGCGTAGCATCGCAGAACCAACTTCACAGAGGTTTGGTAGAACTACTTGGTGCATTGACGTGTGAATTCGAGTTTTACGTCGCTCAGTTGTAGCGTTTGATCGAATTCTACAGTCAAAAGAGTGTTTGCTGTAGAAAGATTTAAGTGGCATGATGAATGAGGAAGAGGAACATAGAGCTCAGCCAAGAGACAACGAGGTAGATAGTGAACGGGGAGAAGAACGAATCCCGTCGATGGCAATGATGTACAAAGGAGTACATGATAGCCTGAACCTCGTAAACAGAGAGTGCGAAAAAGAACTGAGCACATTTTTTTTGCACAGGTGACAAATGCAGAAAAGCGTTCTTGACAAAGCTAGAAGAGCAAATCGAAATCGAAGAACAGAAATTAAGAGTAATCCTCGAAAGTTCTGTATGCACAAGAGGTGACCTAGGAGGAACGCAGATTGACTCTGAGACATTGGAGATCCTTGCAAAAGCTGGGTTGATGTCACCAGAAAAGCTGAAACGTTGCCTTAATGAATACTTCACTCACTGTATATTAGTTGCAACCGTGTGTGCAACGCTAGACTGCAGTGAGAAAGACTTAGAAGAAAAGGCCAAGGACGTGTCAAGTGAGGTTCAGTGCCTCAGGTTAAAGCTCAGAAACTTGAGCAGAGGTTGCGGCTGTCATGGAGCCAACGCAAACCCATCTGACGATGATGCAGATCGGGAAGCAGACACTTCAGATGGCAACTGTTCATACAGTTCGACGCAAATACCAAAGATTTGCGGACCTAAATAAGGAAGGTAACATACTTTTATCGGATCACCAAGTGCCGACAGCGCAGAATGCGCAAGATAGTGCACTGAAGACCTCCTCGCATAGGCACAGGTTAGAGTTGGGCAGAAGCAATCGACAACAGTTGGACACGGATGTGCATAATGTCCGATTGCAAGATGCGTCACAAAATTCCAATTTCGAGTTTACCATGAGAATATTCACGTTGGCGTCTACAGTACCAGACGTAAAACCTTTTCATGGTAAAGCGAATGAGAGTTTCAGCAACTTTTTGGAATCATTCCTGTTGAAGTACCCAAGGAAGCATTGGGATGATGAAATACTAGTACAACTTCTCAAAAGTTTTCTCAAAAGGGAAGCCTTAAATCTATTTAAGACACTACCGCAAAGTGTAAAAGAAGGTTCCTTCGACGGCGTAGTCCAGGCGATGAGCGAAAGGTTAGCTGAAGGAGGCAATACTTCTCGTGTAAAAGCCTTGGCTACACTGAGGAATCTGAGAATGAAAAGAAATCAGACAGTAAGTGATTTCTGCTATGTACTGGAGAGGACGTGCAGTCAAGCCTACCCCAATGAAGAAAAAGGGGATGGGGTGGCACTCCAGAAAGCGGAACTTCTGTATTCCCAGTTAGCTAATTGGGAAGGAAGCTATATTTTGGCTGAAGCGATTGAGACTAGCCCGCGAGATGTCGTTTATGACAAAGTAAAAGAAGCAGCGCTGAGGCTGGAGAGGAACCTGCATAGAAAGGAAGTCAAGCAGGGCAACAATATGCATAGCAAAAGCTTTATGGCAATCAAGCTTCAAACAAACAGTGGTCTGATTCAGAATCGGTTGATCATGGTGAAAGAAAGGAAAGACTGACCATGAAAGGCAAGGAGAAAAGTAATCGTTGCTTGAATGTGGCAAATCAGGGCATAAAGCGAAACACTGCACACTGCAGAATGTCACAAAGGACAACGTAAGAAGAAATGAAGAATACAAGGCATCTTCGTTCTCCACTGCTCTTGACTGGTTATGCGCAACCACAGGTGCCAGGAAGAGTGCTGAAGAATTTGTTGGTAAGAAGGTAGTTGTGCCAGCAAAAGTGATGAATATGGAAGTAAACGCACTTATAGACATTGACTCCGAGGTATCTATAGCACCATTGAAGCTGTTCACGAGGGCCAAAGAAGCTGGAGTCGATCTAGATGCTTATGTGGAGAGAATCTCAAAAGTAGTATCTAGTGCTGTGATACGCGATGCTTCTGGCAACAGCCTAGAAATCTTGGACGCAATCAAGATGCTCCGGTATATGTCGCCAGATCGTTAGAAAATGAGCTGATCTTGGGGACAAATGTTCTATGCAATTTTGGTGTCAAACAGATTCGAAGTGATACCAATAGAGACTTGCTCAGGTATTCAGTCAGAGATCCCTCGAATGTAGTGAAAGATCGGACTGATAGAATAGACTACTTGGAGGAAACAGGGCGAAGCCAAAAGTAGGAAGGAGACTTTTAAAAGGCTTAGAAAGAAAAGAAGAAACAAGGCGCACAAAGCGCAGAAAGAAGAAGCAAGATTCCAAGAATCAAAGCGGAATCTTGGACGAACCATTGGCCGATATGAAGCAATCGACAAAAGCTGTGAAGATGCACATGCTGAAAAAGAAACAGCCAAAGAATAGATCAGTCGATGTCAAACGGATAAGCGTGGAACAGCAAGACGAAGGTGATTCCAACGCATCAGCAAAGAAGAATGTTAACTCAAGAGTGTCAATGCGAAGCGGTATGGGAAAGTGTGCAGATGTACCGGATACCCTCGCGCATTTTGGGATTTTCTTGAAATGGTCGACTATGTCAGAGCACATCCCTGCCGAACTAGTCGCACAAGTGGAAAAATATCAAGACAACAATATCAAACAGAAAGGAGTGAACACTTGTTGTGTGTCAGAAATCTGGAATAAGGTTGCTTGGACAAGGATCGCATGGACAAGGACCGTTTGGACAACGACCACAAGGAAAAACAAGGAAGAAGAAATCAAGATTGTAACCGTGTGTCATTTTTGTTGGTATACGGTAGTATTGTGTTTGCTTTATATTGTTGTGTTGTTGCTGTGTATCAATGATGGGGTTTTCTTTCCCAATTCTGGAGGGCTAGGTTAGGTGTTGTTAAGTGTCGGGACGCCACTTACGATAAGAGGGGACGTGTAGCCCCCAGGCGCCCGGCCTAGGTTTTTTGTCACACTATTAGTCTTGAACCCAACCTATGGGATGTACGAATCACCATATCTCGGGTTTCGGTTTTAAGATGTCTAGTTCGTTCCTCAATAGTTCCTCAATAGCCCCTCAAAGTTCCCCTATTCACTGTTCTGTATTAGCTCTTCTGTACTACTCCTATTCTCTTTATTTGTATATCAGCTTCTTCTTGTGGTTTGCCATATTACTGATAAACCATTTTATTTTACCAGTTGTTCTGCTAAGTCAGTGGAACCTGCGGTCTAGACCGTCCTACCGCCACTCTTTAGCTGTGGTTTTCGCAGTTAGGTGGTTTCATATGTTTATATACGGGTTGCCAACCATGGTCTTGACAGACCATCAGCCGTTGACTGCGTTGTTCAATCGAAATAATGTGTCGGCTAGAGTCTTGAGATGATCCTTGGAGATGCAGCGCTATAACTTGGTAATAAAGTATGTTAAGGGTAAAACTAATGTGGTAGCTGACGCACTGAGTAGAGGCCGGTAGGTTTGAGAGAGTGGGACTCGGTTCGAGGCGTGGATGAAGCACTAGTGAACAGAGTGGAGGTAAAGGAGAGGAGCAGATGGTTGAAAGAGTTGGAGAAGGATAAGATATTTGGTTGTAGCCTTGCTGGAAGAAGGAAATATAGAGGAACTAGTCAAAGTGCCAGGACTGCGACACCCACTGCGAGTAGCAGATTTTGAGATAGAGGACGGAGAACCAAGGATGTACCAGGAAGATGGCAGCCTAGTTTTGACAGTGCCCAAAAGTGCGCGATTTCAAGTTTTTCGTGAAGCGCATGCAGGAACATTTGCTGGACATTTTAGCGAGCTAAACTTTGGAACCGCTTAAGAAGACAGGTGTTCTGGCCAAATATGGCGGTGGATGTCAATAAGTGGACGTGGGAATATCAGCGGTGCTTTGTGCATAACCTGAAGAGCTAGACCACCCTTGAAACCCATTGTCACAAGAGACCCTATGAGATCATAGGAGTAGACGTACTAGAGCTGGGTCAGACAACAAGTGGGAACAGATATGCCGTAACGCTCATTGACCACTTCTCGAAGTATGCCGCAGCATATCCTGTCCCAGACAAAACAGCTGAAACAATTGCCAAAGTGTTGTTATAAGATGGATCGCGGAAGGGTGTAGATGGCCAAAGACGATTCTGTCAGACAAGGGAGGAGAATATGAAAACAAGGTCATGGCAGAATTGACAAAGATCACGAAAATCGAGCATGTGACGACAAAAGGGTACAATCCCAGAGAGAACGGGATAACAGAGAAATTGAACGGAACGATAGTAGCAATGCTACGCAGAAGTGTAACGGTGCCGGTAGAATGGGATGTAAGACTACAGTTCTGCATGATGGCGTACAATTGTACCCCGCACAGCGCCACGGGAGACAGGCCGTACTTTATTCTGCATGGTATGGACCCCAATTTTCCATCGAAAGTGATACCCAGTGGAGGCGTTTCTTGGTACTCGGTGGATAAAAGTATAGATGACATTAAAGCACAGTTGCTACAGGCAGTAGCGGAGGCTCACGAGTGTGTTAGAGACTATAATAACTGAGTGAGAGAGGAGATGAAACGCTCTTATGACCTGCGCAATAAGGTGAATACGGATAAGTTGGCAAAGGTAGGCGACAGAGTGTACCTACTCTCCCCTAGGGAAAAAGGATCAAATACCCATCCAAAACTAACTTCACAGTGGGCTGGACCATTTAGAGTCATTGAGACTAGTCAGAATTCGGCGCTAGTTACCAGAATAGGGGAAAACACGGAACCTATAAGAGTACAATTTGACGCTTTGAGAGTAGTATCAAGCGCTATCTCTGACGATCGTATAGATACGGTAACAAGTAGAGGCAGAAGAGGAAGAAAACCTAAAGTTTGTGTCAAAAAAAGTAACAAATTTTATTTGCAGTGGTGCGGTGATCGCCTCGAAAGAACAAAAAGGGCACCTTCAGTACACCTTCAAAGACGGCTGCCTGAACAACATTCGCCTGGGAGAGCTGAAAGGAATATACTTCCCCGGAGCTCTCGCCAATCAGCCGCTAAGAACGATCTGGGACGCGTGGCGTGCGGCTAGCATCTTCATCAGAACCGATATCGAAATTTCGGAAAAGATACAGTTTTGGAAAGATGGCGCCGTATTGCTGAAGTACGATTGGACTGAGTTTGTGTGCACGACAAGTGGTATCCGCAAGCACGAGAAGATCGACGACTTCGGATTCGAGACAACTTACGATGCGGCGTTGAAGAAAGTGAAGACGGATCTTCAGAACGAAGAGCGCGATAAACGCATCATCCAAGGTGGACCAGTAGCTTTTGCCGCAGCCCCCTACGCTTCTTTGCTCGAAAAAGATGGACCTTCGAATAGGAATTTTGACGAAGGTCGCAAGGTCATTCCGCCATCTCAGCGACATCCTCAGCGAATGGAAAGCGATTAAGGTCTGGATCATCGTGTGGCCGTTAGACAAAGTTGCCACTGAAAGCGATCTCTGCAGTTGTTCAGAGTTGTTACGAACAATTTCAAAACGGCGGCAGAGTGATTACCGCATGGCCACCGCTGATCGAAAAAGATGAGACGATCTGGAAGAACGTGGTGGAGATGTGGACCGTTCTCGATGAAACGCTGGCGAACAAAGGCGGACCAAAGCAATGCATTACTACGGCGAACTCGAAGATCAAGGCCGGCAAGGTTTTCTGTGAAAAAGGGACGCCCGAAGACTGTGTTTATTTTTACAGTGCTGCTAGTGTTGTGGCTAATGCCAAATTGTTGTATAATTGTATTCGTAAGAGGGTCGCGAAGGAGGTCCAGCTACCCGAGTTGAAGCCACTGCCGATGAGGGCATAGGCAACAGAGGGGGGAGGCGTGTGGAAGTCGGGAGGGGGGGGGGTGCGGGCGCCTTCGAGCGCCTTTCCAAGCGCCGTGCGGGCTGCCGGGAATGGAGTCGCGGGGACGCTGTGGTGTGTGTTGAAACTCACTCACTCTCACTTCGTGTCTCAGCTAGACGACATCCCCGCGTTTTCGTCTCTCTGCCTCTTTTTTTGAGCATCTCCGGATCAATCCTCACTTAATCTTTGTTTCTATTGTGCATTCGTGTTTTATTGTTTTCCTCTGTCACCCTTTTTTGTTGTGCTACCTGGCAATAAACGTGGGCCGGCGCTGTATTTTTGTTCTTGGAGCCGAGGCATCACCTCGAGATCTTTCTTTTTTTGTGCCGGGTCCATTACAATTTTTCTTTCTCCAAAGTTAACGAGAAGTTTCCAAAGCTGTGCAGATTATTCAACACAACACTGCTTAGTAGTTGCTGATAAGAACAAGTGATGTATCGGAGTCGTGAATTTTGCGATGAACCACGAGTCGAAAGTTGTGGTTTACCAAAAAACTCGATTTTTCTATAACTCATTTGTTCTCAGCAGTAACATGCTTGCACTGTTGTGTTAGATAATTAATACAACTTTGGAAGGTTTTCGTTAACTTCAGAGGAAGAAAAATGACTTTAAAGAAAAGCGCCAGGGATCATCAGGGATCATACAAAAGCTGGAAAATGCGGCTTGTACAGCTTCACGCTCCTGTTCAATGTGTTCATAGTGAAGGGTAGTAGGAATACTTACGGTTACGTGCACAAAGTGAGATCCGGATATCTGGAGGTT